ACTGAGGCCCGTGATGCTGGCCGCCCCACAGCACACAGGACGCCGCCCACCAGGCAGAACTGTCTGCTCTAACTGTGGATGATGCCGAGTTCCAGAAATGCACGTTACATCAGGAGCCACGGCAGGTGACTGAGGCCCTGCAGAAGCAGATGAATTAGGGAGGACGGTCTCTGCTGGCCTTGGGAAGCTCCTCCCTGATTTGAGAAAGCTGGAGTCTTCGCCTTGAGATCTCATTGTGTTTCCTCCCTGTGACAAACCCTCCATCGGCTTCTTGTCATTTCCAAGGAGAAGTCCAACATACGCAGTGCAGCCCTGCAGACCCTGTTGAGCACTTTCATCGCCTCCTGCAGCAAGGAGAAGAAAGCCTGAGCCTGGGGCATGGATCAGAGAACCCTGCTCCCACGTCAAGTCCATGGGAAGGTGAAGAAAGGACACTTAAAAATAACCTGTCATTCCTGTGCCTGCAGATAGTGAGGGGAAGGCCGGGCGGTGGCAAAGGAATCCCGTGCAGGACCCAGGAGGGTTACTAGCAGATGAATCCTGATTTGTTCTGAAGCTGTGCGAGTGTCCTTAAAATGAAAAGGCGGGGGAGGATACACAGGTACCCTTTCCTTTCCAACTTCCTCTTGGGCTCGGAGCGTCATTTTCTCTACAGTGGCCGTGGGGTTCTGGAAGAGAGACGGCTGATGAAGATCTGATTTCAGGACTCCAGACCCGTGACTCTGTGTCACATTGCTGAGAAAATAACTCACTACACTTTGGGAAAGATACACACGGCTCTTCCCCGGTTCGTATTGAGCTCAGATTCCCTTTCTCCGGCCTCATGCCCTACTGAGACTGGACAGAAGGCGGCCTGGATTTATGTGGGCTGCATGCGGCTCGCACCTCTGCTGACCGGGTCGGTGATCTCAGGATTCTTTGGGGCTGCTGAGAACCACGGGCCTCTTCCTACAAGTTCTTTCCTGCCCCGGGGTCTGGGCTTTGCTCCTACTTCTTACACTTCCATAGTCTTACCCTCTGCTATTCTTGCTCATCTTTCTGATCTTGGATCAGACTTTATTTTCTAGGGACATTGCCTGACTTGCTCCCGACCTGATCTAGTTTCCTGATTTGTGCCCCCCCCCCCATGCCTCCTTGGTCACACGTACCTCAGTGCATGCCTCTCTCTGCTTTTTGATGGGCAGCTCCCTGGGGGTGGGGGCCAGGGCTGTATCCATACACCTGGCCTGAAGGCATCTAGCAGGGGTGGATGACTGAGACGCCCCCCCCCCCCTGCAGGCCTGGCCTGCCCCGCTGTCATGTCCACGGCTGTGTTTGCAGAACCCGGCACAGTGCCTGGCACAGAGCAGGCCCCCAGGAATCGCGGATTGATTGGCACAGCCTGGCCGGGCCCCGAACTGTCCATCACTGAGATTGGAAAGAAAAGCTGCTTCCCACGCAGAGTGGCCTTGGGGCCCGCACGGCCGCCGCGCCTGCCCATCAGCATGCGGCTCACGCTGCCCGCCTCGGCCGAGCTGCGATCTCAATAACTCAGGAGCCTGGGGCACCCCTGCCCGGGGACCTGCCAGAGTCCACCTGGGAGCCCGGTGAGGCCGAGGCTGGGGTGGCCTGTCTCAGAACTGCCCCAACCCTAACCCAGGAAAGAAGTCACCCCTGTCCCCAAGGTCTCTGTCTGCACAGCCCCGGGGAAACAGGACCACCTCTCCAAGCCTTGGTCCCTGCACCTGTAAGAAGGGTCTCCACCACCCAGGGTACACGGGGGAACGCACAGGGTGTTCTAATGCAGTGCCCAGCCCCGAGTGTGTGTGTGAGCGCATGCGCATGTCTGGATCCGCCTCTGCCTATTAACACAAGCCGCTCCCATAGTGGCCCAAGCCTGAGCCGAAAGGAAGTCAAGGAGTTAGACATCAGGACAGCAGTCTGCCTCTGGGCCTTCTTGCGTGTCTTACCCACGTTCCCTGGTCGAGGATATTCATTCCCAAGAGGCCTCCGAGCCCAGGTACAGCACCAGACGCACCCACACTGCCACCAGGAGAAGAGAATGAAAGGATATTAGCGTGGGAACTCCAAGGGACACAGATGCCCCTTGCCCTGATCAGGACAGGTGGATCCAAAGCTGCCAGAGACCCAGAGCTTAGTCCTGATGCCACCACGGAGGCCACATGGGCCCCCAGCGGAAACCTTCCCATCTGCTGCTCGGCATAAAGAAGCTCTTCTGCTCACGAACGGCATCAGGTAGCTGCTTATTGCTACTTACCGGAAGAAGATTCCGTGTAAACAACACACAGAGGCTGGCTACGCGTGTGACAATAGCTTTGGAAAGACAGACACGATTCTGTCGCATGCCGGCTTGAAGCTGGGAAGCATCATTAGAAAAGATTTCAACTTGAGACTCTCGCATTCTGCATCCCAGTGTTTGGGGTCAAGGAGAGTCTAAAGAGGCTCACCCACCCCTGCCGTCCTCTCTCCAGTAGTCCCTGGGGCCCTCTTGGGGCTCAGCCCTCTGCTGGGCTCTGGGAGGGAGAGAGAACAATAAGATGGAATCAGTTCCTAGAAATGGCTACATTTTCATTGGCGGCGGGGGGGGGGGTGGGATATCTGAACTATTAGTGACCATATGAGTCATGGATTCAACTAATATTTATTGAGCATCTCCTACATTCCAGGAATTGCACTGGGCATTCAGGATACAGAGGCAAGCCAAACAGAGACTTGTCCTTCCACGAAAGTACTATTGCTCCTGGGAAGGGACAAGCAAATAAATGGGTCATTGATACCTCTCAGGGCCACATGCTTTTGCAGAGCAGGGCCATTGCCTGGAGTGCGGTGGCAAGGCCACTATTTTCGTGGTCAGAAAGTCCTGGGGAAGGCCTGGCATTTGGACCAGGGGCTGATTTTCATCAAGTGAGACTCAAGGAGGTGCCTTCCAGGGAGAGGACAGGTACGCAGAGGTGGTGTCCCCTGACCTCTCAGGACCTCTGCTCAACCTCCCCGCCTTCCCCTGCGGAAGCCGGACACCAACCTTGCAGCCTCCCTTGCAGCTAGAGCCAAAGCATGTGACCTCTTTTCCACCAATCAGGTTGCTCACTCCGCGCTTCATCTTGGCAGTGGGCACCGCCCCCAGTGCTAGTGACAGCCACCCAGACAGGGCAGCAGTGGCCCACAGGGGTCCAGGTAGCGTGTCCAGGCCTTGGCCTCACAAGGCCAGTGGTCCTCTGCTGCTCTGCTCTTCAGTGTGAGTTTGGGGATGGACTTTGGTGCAGCGTCAAAGCCCGTCCACCTGGTGCAGCTGCTGTAGGAACAGATGTTAAAACAGCAGCGGGTCCTTCTCCCAGTGGTCCTGAGGCTGGAAGTCAGGGGTCAGAAGGTCAGCTTTCCCTCCGGGGCTCTAAGCCCGGTTTCAGGTATTAGGACATGGGGACGCCATTCATTCATTCAGCCCATCCCATCCCTTCCTGGAGATCTTGCAGGCTAATAACTTCTAATAGGTTTCATTCCAGTTGGTGCCAGCCTGGGTTCATTTCCAGTTTTGGTGGCCGACAGCAGACACTGGTACCATCCTGTATCTTGATTCCTGGTCTCCAAAGGCGACCAGGGGTCTGGAATGGAGCCCTGCTCAGAGTCCTAACCCTGAGAATGGGTCAGGCAGGGGCAGGTGACTCCCTGCCTTCCCGTCCCCTCCCCTGTCTCCCTCTCTGAGCAGACAAATGGAACTGTCATGTCAGCAACTCTGTGGCTGAGACATTTTCTTTTTGGTTAAAACGTATCTCCTGGTCCTAAGAGGTTGTGAGGCAGACCTCACCGCGGAGAGAGAAGGAGGCCGGAGAGGTGGCCAGCCTCAGCGCATCAACTATTTATGACTTTGTTAAAAAATAAAAACCAGATCACACTCACCCACAAGACCTCGGAGTACCTCTGGGACAGAGCAGTGTGTCATAACCTCTCGGCGGAACTTGCTCTGTCTTCTCCCTGCACCCACGCAGTTAGAGGCTCCCTAAGGAAAGCTTTGCATTCACACTTGGAAAAAAATCAACAATTCCACAGACACAAGAAGCCGTCCAACATGGTGATTTCACACTGTCCTCAAACCTGAAACCTGGTGCCACTGCTTACTAGCTGTGTGACCTTGAGGATATTCCTTACCTCTCTGAGCCTATTTTCTCATCCTTGAAGGTTATTCATGCCTGTTTTGTTTTTGTTGGTCTGTTCGTGTTGTGATGATTGGTTCTTGGCTTAGTGTTGGCACATGTGAGCCTATGAAGACATCGTCACACCCACACAGTGTAAACAGAGTACTGTACTGTCCCCCACTTTAGAATTCAGTTGGCACCAGCTATATGGCCTTTTCTCCTGTTACCTGTGCTGCCCTCCGTGTTGCCTGGCGCATGATAGGTGCTTCGTGCATTTTTGGTGGGTAGATCTGTATTATTTTGCTGGGTGTACCATCTGCGTTTAGTGGACTGAGAAATGACAAGTTCGACGGGTCACCATGGAATGGAGCTGTTTCTCTGACCCCGTCTGCCTTCAGCGGCACCTAAAGCTCACCAACACCGGCTCCGCTCTTCTCCTGGGAGTCCCTGGGGAAGGTCCCACCTATTCCTGCCAGCCCAGGGGACCTGCCCTACGTGAGGAGGCAGCCATGTGCTCTCTGCTCTCTGCTCTCTGCTGCCCCCTGCAGGTGAGGACACCATCAGTGCCAAGGTTTATGACCCTGACGTTCCCCAAGTCCATGCTGAACAAGAATTGCTGGGCCTACCAATGACTGTGGCCGCACCGAGCGTCCCTGATAATTTCCTGGCAACGACCCTCAGTTTCGATCTCCTCTTTGACTGTAGCTCGATGGACCCATCTGCACTCCATCATCTGAGCTGGGTTCACGTTGCTCTACCCTCCGGTTCCTGACCTGAGGGTCGTGGGGATCAGGAGTCGAGGTTCTGCTGGGGAAGAGGGAGTCACATGAAGGGTTCAGGGACACACTACCTCATGTATTCGGTCTGTGATTCCAGTCCAGCCGCATCTTTTAAGTCTGAGTTTCACTGCAAAACATTAGTCATCTGGTTGTCACTGGGACTGAGATACCCCACAAAAACAGTGTAAAGAAGGCAAACATTTATTTTGGGTTCACGGTTTCAGAGGTGCACCCTGCGGTCGGCTGGTTCCATGGCCCTAGGCCTGAGGTGGGGTGCTGAATCGGGGTGGTAGGGCAGATCATGGAGGAATGGCAGATCATGGTGGAAGGAAAGCACTCGCCCTGTGGTAATCAGAAATCAGAGAGAAAAAGTGAGGATCCAAGGACAAACCATGGAACCCCCCTGTGACCCACTCCCTCCCGTCATGCCCCGTCTGTCTACGGTTACCGCCCAGTTAGTCCATTCAAACTATTAACCCATCGGATGGATCCGTCCACTGATTAGGTGACAGCTGTCCTCATCTAACTCCTTCACCTTCTGTATTAATGTAGGAGTTTGGGGGGACACTTTGCATCTAAACCATAATAGAGACAATTAGTATTCCTTCCTCAAAGAGATAATTAAGGGTGATGAAATCATAAATATAAAGAAACAGTTTGTGCCTGGCATACATTAGGCACAAAATAAATGCTAGTCATCATTTTTATTTCCTTAGGTGAATTATTTTCCTAGGGACTCCACCATCCTGGGTGCTGGTAATGCCTTGTGGTAGGTCTGACGCATCTTCCAGGTATTTTGGGGTAGAGGCATAATCAGGTGGTGGCAGAGAGGATGGGGAAACGGCCTTTTGAAAAGGGGAATAAAATAATAACATGAGAACCACGAGTCTGTTAGAGAGGTCACCTGCAGATCCAGCTCCAGGGATCTGAAACTCAGAGCCTGAGAACCAATGTCGTGTGATTATTGAAAACCTGGACCGTCCACTCTGCGGCTGTTTTAACTCCAGATCTGGTGTGCGCCAGCCGACAGCTTTGGGCAAGTCTCTCAGTGTTTCTGGGCCTCAGTTTTCTCCTCTGTCCATGGGGACGATCGTACCTACCTCAGGATTGCCACGGGAATCGAGTGAGGTTTTCCACGCCGAGCATTCAAAGCCACACGTGGTGCCTGCCAATCAATATCAACGGTTACTAGTCCTTCAGCAAATCAATCAAGAACATAAACTTTAAAAAGGGAGATCCATTGATAGGTCTGCCCCTACACTACCCAGATGATCCATGCCCCTCCAGATGGCCCAGTCACACTTCACCAAATGCCCAGCGTGCAGGGATTCTAGCAAATCCCCCCGACCACGGCTGAGTGTATGAACCCATGGGAATGGGCTTATGTGTGCAGCTGAGGTTTTTTGTTCTGCTTTCTCTACCCCAGGTGCTCACGGAGCTGGAAGACCCTGCGTGTCCTCCACGGACCCCGACCACGCTCACTCCTAGCAGTCGGGCCCGTCTTGGAATTTCCTGCAACAATCAAGGACACAGAGTTTCTCGGGGGCGCTGGGGGGGGCAAGCCAGAGAAACGGACTCGAATCCCCCGTGTTTTGGAGGTGTTCAAGAGCATTTCCTGGAACAGAGCGGTGGGGAGCACCCCTGGGCTCCTGGGTCTGGACCCCGACACTGGACACATGAGGGAGGGCCTGGGAGGGTTCTGTGTCCAGAACAAACTGACCACAACAACCAAGTCCCTTCCCAGGGGAACTGGCTGGCTCCTCCTGCTCCCTGCAGTCACCTGTCACATCAAGACTCTAGGAGCTGACCCCCGTGGGCAGGGGAGAGAGCAGATCACAAGGTGTAGGCTGGACCTGAACCCCTCAAAGGGGGCCTTCTTAGGTACCTGATATTTTCCCAAGAGCTTTGTATATATGAATCTATTTACTCTATCAACGAATCTATGAAATTGGAGTCTTAGTATCCCTCTTCTTTCATAAATGTGGCAAATGGAGGCCCAGAGAGGTCAGGTAATTAGCCCAAGATCACTCAGCAAGGAGTCTGGCTGCCAAGTGGGCACTCGGACCCGACTGCTTCTGGACCCCGATGTTCCACGACTGAAGCTTTGCTCCGTCACTGAGTGGCTATTTCTCCTGCTCGAGTGCAGACTCTGGGCCATGTCCCCAGGGTGCTGTGTGTCTTCATCATTTATCACAATGCTTCACCCTCGGAAGATATTTGCGAGCCAAATCGATGAATGAACATATGGGAACAAGAACACGTTATGTCTTTTTTAAAAAACGAAAGACCCAAGGTCCCTGTGGGAGGTCCCCCCTCAGGACTTTCAGGGGCTGTGTGTGGGACCAGAGAGCAGCTTTCACAAGAACAGCCCCAGGCGAGGCCTGAGAAGAGAGAGTGTGGCTACTGTTGGCTCCCTGCTGCGGCTGACCTTGCTACCTGTCCCCGTGCCCAGCCTCCGGTCGCCCGTCTGAGCTTAATGGCAATGCATTTGGGCCATCAGTGGTGACAGCGGCCGGTCGCCCTCTAAGAATCGGGAGGCAGTAGAGCGTGAGGCAAGCTGCCCGGGATGACCGTGGGCCTCCCTCTGCGCCCGGAGCGTTCGTCAGGAATGACACTCAGGTTGGGAACAGGCCAGGGACAGATAGAATCCCCAAGGCCACGTGCCCAGTAACCAACTTCCCCAGCCACATCCCACCTGCCTACAGTGACTACCTAGTGGATTCATTCCCACCAACTGGAATAATCCACTCAGGAAGCTACGGCCCTCAAGAGCCAATCATTTCCAAAGAGCCCCACCTGGGACCCTGGCCTTATTAGGACCCTGCTTTCAGGACACGAGCTTTTGGGGGGACATTCCTGAATCAAACCATAATACTCCCCAACAGGCAGAGACACCCTGTTAGAACCTACCTGAGGTCCCTCCTCCAGGCAGCCAGAGCACTCGAGACAAAGGCCAGGTGGACCCCACCCCAGAGATTGACCCTGGCCCTCAGACTGGAAGACGATTTGCAGCCGAGCAGCATCTGACCTACCATCATCATGAAGTGGGTGTTTGTTTTCCGCATGAGGCACTGAGAACTGGGGTCATTTGTTACTGCAGCATATCCATGCCTACGCTGACTGATACACTGCGGCAAGAGTGTATTTCTGAATGGAATTCGTGTGCACAATAACAACAGGGAACAGAAGGATGGGGAATGGTGGAAATGGTCATCTGGCTGGGAAAGGCATGCTAGTTCTGCTGGCCCCGCCAGGGCCTAAGGCATTGCTGGTGGTGGTGATGGTGGGTGATGAGGTCCAGGGTGCATAAGTTCAATAACTTTTTTTTTTCCTTCAGTTTTCCAAAATCACTCACTTTCTCTGTTGAATTTCACATAGTAGACACAACACTTTTTTTTTTAAACATGTAAAAGGATTGCAACAGAAACTATAGAAAGAATATAAATACACAAAGAAAATATGGAGATCTTGATCCTGTTCCACTCAATTCTTCCCGGGGGATGATCACGGGTATTGTTCAGCATAGATCTTGTATCTGTGCATAAATGGCATCAGACTGAATGCATTGTTCTTCAATTTTCTTTTCTTTTTTTTTTTTTTGTGTGTGTGTTATTTTAACTTAGCGTTTTTTGGAGATCTTTCCACGGCGCTGCATGGAGGTCTATCTCATTTTTATAATGGCTTCATATTATCCCATAATACGGATGAAGTGTAATTTATTGAACTTTTCCACTATTAATGGACATTTATATCCATTTGAATTTTTACCTCCTTCTGTGATTCATGGGCTCTGAACACTCTGCTAACGTCAAGCTGTACCACGCAGCTGTACAAATGACCACATTTTTCTCTCCCTGAATTTGTAAATGTCTTATCAACCACAGCATGGGGGTGGATGGAGGAGTCGGCTGCCAAAGTCCCCTCTGCAGGCCCGGCCTGTTTGCCTGCAGGGTCTGCGCGGGAGGAGAAGCTTCCTGAACAGGGGCCCCTCCCCAGCCCAGACCCCTCCCTCCCTCCCTGTTGCCCTGGGCACAGCCCCTAAGAAGATTCCAGGTCAAAGTGCTTCCTGTCCTTTGACCCAAGAGCTGTGTCCGATTGCAAATGGAATCCTAATTAATTTTACATCTGGGATTGGATGCGGAACTATTCTGTCAAGCGGCTCCAAGTTCAGAGTTCATTTATTTTGGGTTTCTTGAGCCCTCGGTTTCAGTCTCTGCCAATCCCTGCTCCTCGTCTGCCTCCTTCTCTCCTCCCTCCCCAGACTCAGGACTTCACCCTCTGAAGACGATCATGCCCATGTTAATCATCGCGAGCAATCTTTCTGGGAGCGAGGAGCAGAACGTAGCTTTTTTTCATGGGCTCCGAAAGTTAATAAGTAACTGCCCTACCATCACCGTGAACTGGCCCTGAGAACTGGGGTCATTTGTTACCGCAGCATATCTATGCCTGCCCTGACTGATACACCGTGTCCTGAGACTGTGGCAAGAGACTCATAAAGGACTGGGAAAACAGGAAGAGAATTTATAACGGAAGATTTTCCAGGTCCCTCCCCTGGAGCGGTGCCTGACAGAGGCCTTGGGACACTTGGCTTCTCAGCTGCTGCCCTCACTACGGCGACGGTTCCTCGGCCAGCAAGATGTACCTACAAGGTCAGCTCCACCTTCAACACACGACTTCCCAATTAGCCAGTGGTCATCAGTGATGGAAGTGACTTCCTTATGTGGGGATGTCCCCGGGAACAAAGCAAAGGACGGCTGACAGTGGACAATGCCAAGGTCACCAGAAGCCAGCCATGGATTCCCTCCGCTCCCTGCCCTAGGCCCATGGGTCTGAAGTGTCCACCATGATGCTGGGCTCTGGTGGCCCTCGCCTGGTGAACCAGCGGCAGCTCCCAGCAGAGAACGGTTGGTCCAGGGATGGGCACACCACCCAAGCTGGCTGCTGGGACCCCTTGGAAAGCGGCTCTCTGGGCAGGTGACAAGTCTCCAGGACAGAGGTTCAGAGCTGGAGGGGACGGGGCACCTTGGCCTTTGTGTGGGAAAAACCCCTTGGAGATGAAGCCAGTCCTGGAGGGCAGGGTGAGGGGGGCATGTTCCCAGTGTCCCGGTGTGTTCTGAGCATCCTGGACCCCTGACCCATGCCCCCCGCATCCTCTACATCCGTGTTGTCCTTTGTTTCTGGAATGTTCATCCCCCACCATCAGCTGGTCACTCCATCGGCCCTGAGCTTGAAGACCTCCCGCTGTGGGGCCTCCCCGGACCCCCTCCGTAGCAGCCTATGAATGTCTTCTGTCCAGCGTGATCGGACAGACTGATGGATGGGCCATCTGCTCCATGTCCTCCTTCCCACCAGACAGTGAACTCCCTTGGGTCCCCATTGTCCCCAAAGCCTGGCACTTTGTAGGGACTTGGCCAGTATCTGCTGAATCAGAGTCTCACTTGGGTGGAGGCCAACTGACCAGCGCTCAGGCTCTGGACTTGGGTTCCTGGGTTCGAAGCCTGCCAGGTGCCATCCTGGGAAAACTCACTTGCTGGGCGCGACTCAGTTTCCTCATCTGTGAGATGGGCTCAAGTGGGGCCTGCCTCCCGGGGTGGCCCCAGGCTTCCTCCAGGTATTGTGAGTGGAGCCCCGAGCACGGGCCCAGCACACGGGTGTCGGGGACACAGTGGGTTGCGCGCCTCCTCCTCGGGGCTGGGAAGATGCTGCCGCATCCAAGGACGGGGCTGGAATCTAGGCTCAGGACTTCTCAGGACACTGTGTGCCCGCATGTCCCTGAGTCGGAGAGGAAAAAAGATCACCCACAGGAGATGGAAATGGAAAGCCATTGGCCCCGCCTGGGTCTGGAGCCTGTGGCCCCCGTGAGGGCAGGGACCGGCCACGTCCAGGGCTGCAGCTCCTGGTGCCTAAAGGTCTTGAAGGTCGCGCTTCTCAACAAAACCACGCGGCTCTGGGTCAAGGGTGGCTTCTGCCTGAGCGGGTCTGGGGCCCGAGGTGGAGCCCGGTGGCCACGCTGCTGGACCACGCTCCCAGGGCCCGCAGGTGCCCACTGGGCAGCAGGGACAGGGACGGCGGGGCGGGCGGGCTGGCTCCAGGGCCCGAGACGGGGTGGCGCGGAGGAGGAGGGAAGACAAACTGAAATGGAAATAAATACCGTGCGCCACAATCTCATTAATGTCTAAAATTAGATTAACGTAATGAAAAATTTAAAAGCCAGATTAAAGCGTGTCAGCCTGGAATTGAGTGCTGAATCATGTTGTGGTCTTCTTGGCTCTTTCCTTAGCAGTTTGCTGCTAATGGGTGTTTCAGACGACCCGGTTACATGTTGTTCTTTGTGATTTTTAATTATCACCAAACACATCCAATTGGCCCTGTTTTGGAGACATGGCTCTTGTAGGGTGTGGCTGTCACAAGGATCCGAAAACGTTCAGATGGAAGCAGGATCCTTTGGGGCAAAGAAGGGAGGCTTAGTCATGTCCTGGTGGCAGGCGTGAGCCTCCTGGGTCACATCTGTCATGGCGACCGGCCTAAATATTATTGAGACTCCCATGTTCTAAGTAGAGAAATCAAGGATCAGAGAGGTAAAGAAATCGGCTTGGGCCACACAGCTCATTAGTGGAATGGCAGTTCTCTTTGGCGT